GTGTCACGATATCCGCGCGTGCCGTGCAGGCCCGCGCGGCCTTGTATCCTGGCTCATGCGAGCGCGCAATGAAGATTCCTGTCAAAGGTGGCGTCTCTGTTCACGGCCCCTGCACTTCCTGGCCTGGCGGAGGAGATCGGGATGGATTTCCTTCTCACTCTCCGTCGGGGCCCTAGCCTCCCGACGGACGTCCATCCGACCCCTCCAGGGTGGCAGGGAATTCTTGCCTCCTCCGGTGCTCTGCAAGGGGTGCATGGTGAAAGTATTGTTCCCTTCATTTTCGACAGCGTTTACAAGCAATGATATGAAGTGATACAACCTGCTCATCCGGGCTCCCGGATGTGTGCCCTTCTCTCTGCTCTTCTTCTTCCTTCCATCCAGTCCTGTCCTTCTTCGGTCTTCCTTCCAAGGGTGGCTGGCGAGACGGCACGACGATACAATGGCATTTCACGGTAGCTGCCGAGCGTGATCCGTGGCGCGTCTACGCTTCCTGATACGCTTGATCATTACGCAAAAGAAACGCTAATATAAAGGAGAAAATCTGCCAAGTAAAATAAATGACGCGAAATTTAACGCACGTTCGCAGGTGCGTTTGCACGCGCGCTCGCCTACGCGCTCGCCTACGCGCTCGCCCTTCGAGCCGGTAGGAAGCGCGAGTCCGCCGTCGACAAGTCCGCAAAGTGACGGACAAAATGTCACGTCACAGTTTTCATATACATTTAGAAACAATGACGTCTTTACGTATCAAATAATTCATCAAATAAAATAACTTTTTTTTCTAAAAGATATAAGTATTTATTTAAATCAAAAGTTTTTATTTTGATTTATTTTTTAAGAATAAAAATAATTTGTTTTTAAAGAAAGAATCTGTTCTGGTCCACTGCGCATTGTGAGAACATCCACTGCGCAGGATCGGGTGATCCTTCTCCAAGAATTCGTTCCGCTTAAGCTGGAAACACAATAGACACAAGCAATAGGCACAGGCAACAGGGAATAACGAGACGTCCAATCAGAGCTCTGGGATATAATATTGAACTTATACTCCAAAGCTCTGATTGGATGGCTCGTTATTCCCTGTTGTCTGTGCCTATTGCCTGTGTCTATTGTGTTTTCAGCTTTAACGTCCGCAACGTTCGCGAGATCATTCATCTTCTTTGTAATCGAATGTCAAACAAGGATGAAATAATGCACGCGAACGTTGCGAACGTTAAGGTAGAGTTCAAAAACATCACCTGAGTTTATCCTTGTTTAACAACAAGGATAACACGATACGACGCTTGCGCCGCGAGGTACTGCAGTGTGATTTGGTCGGAGAAGCGTGGAAGGGCCATGCGAGGTTCTGATTAGTCGCTTGACTTATTTTGTATGAAAAGTAACGGACTCGAGAGGATCTTGCAAGAACCGTTCTCCCGGACGGACGACATTGTAACACGATCGAAATAAAGTCAGTTATCTCGTAAAGAAGACATGTGTGTGCCATCTAAAGTCTTCCTGATACTCGAATCAAACAAGAAGTGATGGAGGATCCTTTACACCTCAAAGCTTTTCTTTAAGTGTGTGACCACGTTGAATGTGAGTACATTAAAATAATATTAACGAGAGGTTCGGTGCTTATAGATACGCTTGTCACGTTTTCGTCCAGAAACGCCATTAATCCATTTTCTTGAACGTTGTATCGTTGGAAATTTGCATGCAAACATTTCGCAGAAATTCAACCCAACGATAGGTAGTAGAGAGATATTCGTGCTTTGTAAATCGCCAATTGTCGATTGAGCATATATAGAATTTGATCAGTTCAGCTGTTATTGAGAGCTGATAATCTCAATCTGCTGCAATTCGCCGGCTCGCGTAAAGTAGCCACGGCAGTGTCTCACGTCATGTCTTAGCGCTGAGACACTACTGTGTCCCCTTTGAAACAAGAGGATATTTCAATCGGTAACCTTTTCTCATTTGTAATATTTGTAATATGTAATTATGATGTGACGTGTAAGCATTAATAATTAATTATAATAATAATAATAATAGTATCCTGGGAGGCAACCCCTAATTGGGGCCCACCAACGACACGCAGACCAAGTCCATTGTGTCTTCCCAGCCGTACTAACCCCAGGTCAGCTCAAACCAGTCTTCCTCCAGAAGCGAAGGAGATCCCTGACCTGAAGTTGGCATACCTGCTCGGGCTCGAGGAATATCGAGCCCAGTAGAAGCCGCCTGTATCCAGCATACGCTGGACATTCGCACAACACGTGGAGAGTAGTCTCTTCCTCATGTCCACACTTTCTGCACTTCGGGTCGCCGCTAAGCCCCAGCTTGTGCAAATGACAGTTGGTGAAGCCATGGCCCGTGTAGATCTGCACCGCTAGCCTGGCTTCTCCTCTTCTTAAGGCCCTTGTGTTCTTAGCAAGGTCCCTACTGGGCACTTCTCCCAGCAAGGCCCTTGCCTGCCGACATTTGGTCCTTGTTTCTTCCTTCCAATAGTTCATATGGCGGTCGCGCAACCAGTCCCTTATTCTCGCCTTGGCCCTGCAGCCTGGCAGTCCAAGGGCCGGTTCCGGCCCCACTAATCTAACTGAAGAGCCGCTCCTTGCCAGCTCATCAGCGACCTCGTTTCCCTTGATTCCCGCGTGCCCCGGGACCCACACGAGAGCAACGTCATTGCCCGCGGCTAGCCTGTTCAATGCATCCTTGCACTCCCATACCAGCCGCGAGTCAAAGACGCACGCCCCCAGCGCCCCTAGGGCCGCTTTGCTGTATGAGCAGATCCTAATACGCCTGTCCATCTGCCCAGATGCAATCAGCAGTTGAGCACAGCTCATGATTGCCACCACCTCTGCTTGAAAGACCGTGGTGAACTCTCCGAGGGAGAGAGCCTCCTTAAAGCCCCCACGGCTTCCAAAGACCCCGGCACCGGCGCCCCCGTCAGTTTTGGAGCCATCCATGTACCAGACGTCCCCATTCCTGATAACAAGCACCTCGTGCCTCTTCCACTCCTCACGACTAGGAAGATAGATCTTGAAAGATCTATCAAAGTCGCGTTTTCTCGGCATCCTATCCTGCCTCATATCCAACACGGTTTCCATCTGGATATCCCGTGGTAGCCGGGTGTGGCCCACCCCGATCGTCCACTTGCCTTCACACTTCAACCTATACGCCGTGGCCGCTGCTGCCGCCACTATCGCAAGGTGGAGTGGTTCGATGCCGAGCAGCACTCCCATTGCTGCCACCGGCGTTGTTCTCATTGCTCCCAGAGCCCCTCTTAAAATAAGAGCCCTGACGCGTTCCAGCATTGCTCGAGCCTCCGCCAGCTATGTTCTTGGCCACCATACCACAGCAGCATAGAGCAGTCTAGGCCAGAGCACAGCCGTGTATAGCCAAAGCACCCTGTCCGGCTGAAGTCCCCAGGTTTGCCCAAAGGTTCTTCTGCACATCCAGAAATAAGTGCAAGCCTTCCTACACATCGCCTCTAGGTGCAACTTCCAATTCAGTCTTTTATCCAAGATAACTCCTAGATACTTGACTGACGTCTCAGGAGTCAGTCTGACCCCTTTTAAAACAGGCCCCTCTACGGAGCCCATTTTGTATTTATGGGTGAAGATTACCAGACTTGTCTTATTCGGATAACCGATAGACTCGTCCTCTTACACCATTCTTCCACTACCCCCAGAGCCCCTTGTGTGAGCTCAAGGAGCGTTTCCAGGAAAGGGCCTCCTATCAGGATCGCCAAATCATCAGCATATCCGATAGCCTTGAAGCCCTTATCATTAAGCTCTTCAAGCAGCCTGTCTGCTACCAAGCACCATAGGAGTGGCGAGAGGACCCCCCCTTGGGGGCAACCCCTCCCCACCCATCCTTCAACACTCACCGTTCCTAGTGATGTCGTCACTCGACGTCCAAGCATTCCTTGGATCCACTTCACCAGTTTCACCGGAACGCCTCGCCTTGCCGCCTCAGCACATACAACTTCATGTGGGGTGTTATTAAAGGCCCCTTCAATATCCAAGAAGGTGCCTATCAAAAAGCCCCCTTGCTGGAGCTGCTTCTCAATCCTATGGACGACCGTGTGGAGAGCCGATATGCTCGAGTGGCCAGCCCGGTAGGTGTGCTGCTCTGCATGCAACGGATACCGAGCCAGCACACAATCGCTAATGTAAACATCGACCAGCTTTTCCAATGTCTTAAGAAAGAACGAGATCAAGCTGATCGGTCTGAAGTCCTTCGTCGTGACGTACTCCGCTCGCCCCACCTTGGGGATGAAGACGACTCTCGCCTTCCTCCACGCTTGGGGGG